GGACAGGCACGGGAGGGAAAGGTACGCCGCGCCCGCCCTCCCCCACCTTCCCGCAGCGAGTACGGGAGAGTAACCCGGCGCTGCACTGGCACCCGCGCCCGCCGCTCCTCCTCCTCCTCCTCCTCCTCCTCCCCTCCTTCCTCCTCCTTTTCCACCCGGCCGGATCCCCGCAGCTTTGCAGCGGATGGCAGCAGCGAGCACCCTGGGAAGCGTGTCCAGCTCCTCCCTGACACTGCTGTTCTGGTTTGCCTCCATCCCTCCTTCCCCACCCACCTCATAAACCCACGTTCTTCCCCAGGTTGCAGCCTCCGCCCCGTTTTCCATCACTTTTTAGCTTTGCATCCCACCTGCCCCACCACCGAGCCGCTCTTGGCCAAGGGTGCTGCTTGGCTGGTGCTGAGGGATGCCCTTTTCCTTGGGGTTTGCTTTCGGGTGGCTGCGGAGGCGACTGCGGTCACACAGGCCAGAGCGTGGCCAACTCCATCATCCTTTGTGCCATGCCTTGTGCACCGTCACGAGCTGCTTGGCCAGCACAAATCTGAGGATCGGGTACATCCCTCATGCCGATGTGCAGCATCTCTGGGCATGGCGTGGGAGCAGGTGAGCAGCTTGCTCGGTTTAAAGGAAGTCGAGCTTTTTGCTCTTTTCTGTGTCAATTCAGACCCAGCCCCACCATCGCTGCTGCCGGTCAGACCCACAGGTGACAGGGAAGGTGGCATCCCACCCGGGAGCTTCCCTCTGCCACGGGATGCGGCTGTGGATTCCCAACCCCCTTTTAATTTTGTCCTGGGATTTTTGTTGTGTCAATTAATTACACTGTGGGTTTAGTGGGTTACACGAAAATAGTGTTCAAGGGGGTTGAGGACAGCAAGATGTGACGGGCTGCTGTTCCTATGATGTATTACTTTTTTGATGAAGGGGATCTGTTACAAAGCTGAGCTGCTCTCCCTTCTGCTTTCATATGGTTTTGATTGAGTGCTTGGTTTCTGCTTTGTCCTGAGAAAGGTGGGGAGGGACTCTCAGATCACAAATGTCCAGGTTAACACCTACACGGCCCCACAGCACAGGACACCTGAGCTGCACAGATGTCCCAGCACCACCCAGCTGCTGGGGACCTCATGGCCCTGCAGCTGCCACAGCAAGCGGGGATGAAGTTTCCCACTGAGACGTGCAGATTTCTGCTGTGGGATTCAGGATGGGTGCAGGCTTCTGGGAGGGAAGTTTGTCTTCATTTGTGCTTCTCCTTCTATGAAATATCTTGGAGCATATGGAACAGGGGAGGGGAGGAAGGATAGCAGTGCCTGAGGTCAGGATGGGCTATTAGAGAGCTGGCACAGTTGTCCCTCCACCCTGCTTCCCTTTCCCCGCCACCACCTCAGGGCAAATAACAACCCCATCCCTTTCTTCTCACCCTGCAGCAGAGGCCAACATGATCACGTCCTCCCTGTGCTAGGGCTGCCCCCCACCACCTTGGTGACCCCCCCAGCCCAGCGGCAAGAATGCGTGCCTGGAAGGCGGTGGCCAGCACGCTGGCGCTCAGCGGGGCTGATGTGGTGGTCACAACGCTGCTCTACACCCATGGCCGGGGCGGCCAGGATGTCCTGCAGGACCTGCAGCACTTCAACATCTTTAATTCGCTGCTGGACATCTGGGGGGGCTGCCTCTACCGCAGCTGCGTGCTGCTGGGGGCCACCATTGGGGTGGCCACCAACACAGCCTACGGCCCCCGGCGCCTCAGGGCATCACGGACCTTCATTGCTGTTGTCTGCCTCCTCATGGGTATCTACATGATGGTGAAGCTGCTGCTCTACTCGGAGGTGCGGAGGACCATCAGGGACCCCTGGTTCTGGGGGCTCTTTGCCTGGACCTACGTGGCACTGGCGGCCACCTTCGGGCTGTGGCAGCTGCTGGCCTGTGTCACCTCCTCCCGCGAGGCACTGGGGCCCAGCTCTGAGTCCCGCACCGAGGCAGAGGAGAGCTGTGACGGTGGTGCCCCACGGGACAAGCGGGAGGAGGCAGCAGGTCCCACCATCCATAAGCTGCTATCCTACACCAAGCCGGATGCCTTCTTCCTGGGCATCGCCTCCTTCTTCCTTCTCGTGGCTGCACTGGGTGAGTGAAGGGACTGGCGGAGGTTGCAGTGTGCTCCCATCATCACTGGGAGGGGAAGAGCTGGGGGTGGGGACGGGACTTGGCAGCACCCCAGGGCTGCTTTTTTGGGGTGTGCTGGGTGACGTGTCCTGCACGGGCTGGGTGAACAATGTAGTGGGACAAAAAGAAATGCAATAAGGGGTAGAATACCCTGGGAAATAAAACATCCCTGCGTGCCACTACAGGCTGTGCCTCTGGAGATATCTTGTGCAATGGCCAAGTATCCCCACGGTGGGGATGGGGTTGTCCACAGGCTGTCACAGCTGGAAATACAGATCCTGTGCTGATCCCACGTGGCGGGGCTGAAACCCCATGTCCTGTGCTTCTCTGGCAGGAGAGACCTTCCTGCCCTACTACACAGGGCTGGCCATCGATGGCATCGTGGTGCAGAAGAGCATGGACCGTTTTTCCACAGCAGTGCTGGTTATGTCACTGCTCGCCATAGGAAGGTAACCGCAAGGGCTGGTTTTGGCCCTGATGAGGAGTTTGGGGTTTTCCAGCAGGAGCTTATGGTGGCAGTGGTAGGGACAGGCCGTCTCACCTGTGGCTGCTCCGCCAGGTCTCTGCCAGACCCCAGGGATGCGCTTTGATTTCTCTGTGCCATCGTGGTGCAGAGAGGCTGTGGTGGCAGTCACGAGGCTGTTGCGTAGCCCTCCGTGTCCATCTGCTGGTGGTGGAGGAGCAGGAGCAGATGCAGGGGATGTGCTCCCCGGGGAACGCTGGCTTGGCAGCACTGTGTTCCCTCCTGAAGCTTGTCACTACCGGGATTAGGACCAGCCGTCCCTGTGCTGGTAGCGCCCAGAGGAGGCGTGGGCTGGATGAGCCATTGCTTCCCAGGGTGGAAAGTGGTACCAGCACAGCATTGCCCAAGCCCTTGGCCTGGGCATTGGGGTGTTTATGTTGCTGAGGAGTGGGTTTCATGTCCATTGGTCTATAACGTTTCTTATCTGCAATTAGCTCATTTGCCGCAGGTATCCGGGGTGGCGTTTTTACACTCATATTTGCAAGACTGAACATTCGCCTTCGCAACTGCCTCTTCAGGTCGCTGGTGTCTCAGGAGATGAGTTTCTTTGATGAGAATCGCACAGGTTGGTTCCTCTTTCTCCTGGATTTGCTCTAACCCCTGTATCCCATCCCAGTGGGTTTTTTTCCCCTTGGTTTGCTCCACCAGCACGTAGCAGATCAGGGGTAGCTAGACATGGCACCCAAATGTTCAGAAAGAGCAGCAGAAAGCTCTTCCCTTTCGGCTGCCTCCCACCATGGAGTTGGGACAGGATTGCCCAGCACCCTGGGGATGTCTCATTGCCACTGATCAGCCTGACATCCAGCAGCCCTGAGGTTGACATGATCGTCTCCGGTCATCCACAAAACATCGGCTTTCCTCCTCCCATGCCTCCTGTCTGGTCAGCCACTCTCCTGCTCTGCTCTGGGCATGGGAAACCTCAGATGTGTGAAGCTTGCTGGGCACGCTTGTGGCTTTCCCTGCTTGCCATTCAGTCTGTCCTGGTCCGTGCCACTCTAGTGTGGTCCCAGCCTGCTTTAACTTTTCCCACATTTAATTTCTTGGTGATATTTTTAGTTTTGAGGCTGTTGCCATATTTAGCAATCAGTGCACAGTGCCCTGGTAGCTGAGTACACCAGAGATGTTATTGTAAGTGGGAAATGGGTAACCCTGGACTTAACACATTAAAGCATGGGAGTTCCGCTGGACTCCGCTGGACAAGGAAGAAATTCTTTACAATGAGGGTGGTAAAACACTGGAACAGGTTGCCCAGAGAGGTAGTGGAGGCCTCATCCCTGGAAACATTCACTGACAGGTTGGATGGGGCTCTGAGCAACCTGTTCTGGTTAGCGGTGTCCCTGATCACTGGAGCAGGGGTTGGACTAGATGACCTCTAGGGGTCCTTTCCAACCCAAAACATTCTATGATTCTATGATTCAAACATGAGCCAAGTATTTAGGAATTCAGGGTGATGTTTGCTGGCTGTAACGTTCCGTTCTGCCAAAGGACACCGCAGGAGCTTTGCCCCTTGGTAGGTAGACCCACATCCTCAGGGTCACTTGGGTTGGCTCCAGGCTGTGGGGCACATGGCTAAACCCAAAAAAGCCACCTCGTGCTCATCTGCAGGGTGTGCCGTGCCCAGCCCCAGCTGTTCCTGCCAGCTGGTCCTGGTGCCAGCAGCCCCTGGCAAGCTCCTGGAGGGCTCTTGGCATCATTTAGAAGTGAACTCAGGGCTGGGTTGACAGTTCTGGAGGTGCATTCAGCAGCCCAGCAAACATTCCACCCACACACCTGCTGCCTGGCTGCATGCCCACAGTGTGCCCTCCAGCGTAGGGTGCTGCTGCAGTCCCCTTTGCTGTCCTGCAGCCATCCTTGGTGACCCAGGGATGTAGCTCATGCCTTCAGATGCATTTCATGTCCCTTGTGCATGCAGCAATTCAAGCTCCTCTGTTTTGCTTCGCATCTGCAGCGTGGAGAGTCACACCCCCTTCCATGCCGCCCTTCAGACCCCCATCAAGGGGTGGGTTGACTGGGGAGCTCCGTCTGGCCCCTGGCATGGGACATGGGATACAGCTAGGCAGTCACCTGCTGTGGTGACGTGTCCCTGTTCTCCCCTTCCCCAACCCCTCATTGTTGCAGGGGATGTCATCTCCCGCCTGACATCGGACACAACCATCGTGAGTGACCTGGTGTCCCAGAACATCAACATCTTCCTGCGCAACGTGGTGAAGGCCACGGGGGTGATCTTCTTCATGTTCAGCCTCTCCTGGAAGCTCTCGCTTGTCACCTTCATGGGCTTCCCCATCATCATGCTGGTGTCTGATGTCTATGGGAAGTACTACAAGGTAGGCAGGAGAAGCTGGCATGGACGTGGTGTGCCACAACACTGGGCTGCTTCCCTGTGTGAAGCCATTGTGGAGATTGCGGGTGGCCTTGCAGCCAGTGGGGACTGATGCTTGGGTGCTTTGCTGCTGCCAGTGGGGGCAGGAAGGCGGCATTAAACCTGTATGGGCAGACAAGCATAGCCTCGGCTCTTACCTTGCTTCATGCTCAGGACTGGAAGCATCCCAGGTCTGACAGGAGAGGTAGCTTGGCTGTGGGATGTTGTGTATGCTCCTGCCTGTCCTCATGCAATCTGTCCTCTCCTCTCCCTTTGGAGTGACTTGGGTAGGGGCTAAACCCAGTCCCAAGCTCCCTCCCTCTTCCTGGGGCTAGCGTGGGCCAAGGGCCACTCCCTGTGGCTAATACCATGTCCCACAGACCATGTGGGTCCTGTACTGCTGCTCCCCGCATTGGTTATTGGAGCTTTCCACTGTGCATGGGCATTGCCAAAGCAGGGTCCTGGGGTGCTGCCTCCCCTGGCCATGGCTTCTCCTTCAGGTCAGGTGCTTGTGAGAGGAGTGGAGCTGCCCTTGGTCTCCAGATCTGTCCCTGACTTGGAAACTCCTGGAAGGGCTCCTGGGCCAGGCTGACCCTGTCCCATCAGGGCACCGGGAGCAGCGGCTCTGCCACAGGCTTCCCAAGTGGCCCTGGGCATGGCACCTCACCTCCTGCAGCCCAGGTCCCTCCTTGGGGATAGCACAACAAATCCGTTCCCCTCCTGGCACAGTGGCCCAGGCTGTCCTGAGGTGTGGGATATATCCCAGTGCTCAGCCTTGTTGCCCATGGCCTTGGAAAATGTCACCGTGCCATCTTTTCCCAAGCCCAGCAGAGCCTGGAGCATGTGGGGAGAGATGCCATGGGCAGCCTGGCACGCACTGAGCCCCCTCTGCCTCCCCCTGCTCCCCGCAGAAGCTCTCCAAGGATGTGCAGAACGCCCTGGCCAAGGCCAACAACACCGCTGAGGAGACCATCTCCGCCATGAAGACCGTCCGCAGTTTTGCCAATGAGGAGGCGGAGGCGAACGTGTACTGGCAGAAGCTGCAGCAGGTGTACAAACTCAACAAGCGGGAGGCCATGGCTTACACCTACTACGTCTGGTCCAGCGGGGTAGGTGGCCAGCACTGGGGCTGCCCCGTGCAGGGCTGGGGATAGGCAGGGGGTGTTGCTTTGGATCCCAATACAAGCGTGGCATAACGTGCGTGCGTCTCCTTTGCTTCCAGGGAGCTTTGTGGGGCAAGCCAAGCCTTGATGTCCACTGCCTGTAATCCCCCGTCTCTATTTTTTTTTTTTTTCACTCATCAAAAAATATATTCCGTCCCCCCTTAGGGCAGTGCTGCATTGTGCCACCGAATGGTCTGTTTCCTCTTGCAAATAAGAATATAATTGATAACCGCTCAAGGTCGTGGAAAACCCTGTGTTTCTGTGTTGCTGCATTGCGTGCCTGTGCCAGCTCATCTCCGGGGCTCCGGCTGGGAAACAGCCACAGCGTTGGTTGAGCTTCTGCTCAGAAACAGAGATTTTCTGCATGTGGGTGGTGGCAGGGGAGGCTGCTGGCGTTTGGGTTTGGGGTTTTTTGGATGGTTTTTTTTTTGTTTGGTTTTGGTTTGGTTTTTTTTTTTTTTTTCAAAATAATTTTTCATCATTCAAGACCAGATGGTTTGGGGCTTCTCCTGCATCAGCTGATAACTAAGGCTGTGCAAAACCGTCACGTGAGGCTGCCCTTATCTCTGCACATTCAAGGATGTAAGTAGCCTCTGGTGAATGGCTTGCAAGTCATGGTGCTCTTGTGCAGCTGTGGCAGGCTTTACGGTTTCCCAAGTCTGCAAGCAAAATCGGAGCATTTCTAGCATCATTCCTGAGCTCCCAGGTGAAGCCAGAGCCTGAACTGGGTCAGCACAGATCCCACTGAGTCAAAGGCAGCAAAAACCCTCAAAAACTGCTCCTGCGGGGCTCACATAGAAAGAAGCAGATGGATTTAGCACAGCCCTGGTAAAGTCTTTCTTGGAGGGAACACAGGATCTTAAGGTCAGATCATGGCAGAGCAATAAAGGAGGAATTTTTTTCCCCATTAATTTCATCTGTGTGAATTTACAGCCTGTCCTGCAAACATCTCGTGGAGCACTAGGGCATCGCCACTTTTCTGAGCATCCAGGCAGCATGGAACAAAACTGGCTGAATAAAGGCAGGGGCTGGTATTTGTCATATCAGAGCTGATCTGTCTCCTTTGTAGAGTAGGTGGTACCCCACACACACTGATTTCAGGCAAGAGTTGAGGTTATGCTTCAGGGACTTTATGCAAGCAGGATTTTTTTGCATTAACTCTTGACTTTATTTTGTGTTCTAAATTAAAATGTGTCACATTCATATAACAAAGTTTATTATAGTGGTGAGGTGACTGCATGCATTGGATAATATGAGCATAGATTATTATGCTTGAGGACATTAGTCCAAGAAAAATGTTCATGAGATGCTCTATTATTTCAGATGAATTCTCCCTCCTTGGCTGTTGCCCCTCTGGACATGAAAGATGCCAGCCCAGCTCCTTAAATCAGTCCACGTACTTGAGTTGCTTTTCCCTTCTCATCTCCAGGCTCACTGCTAGGGTTGTCAGCTGTGTGCTGTCAGGGATGCTCAGTTCAGGGCTCAAAGAATAAATGTCAGTGCACAAATTGTGGGCTGTTGTGTCAGTAAGTACAAATGCATCAAAATGCAGTTGTCCTTCCTGATTTTAGGGTGTTTTCTTCCTTGCAGCTTACCCTCCTGGTGGTCCAGGTCAGCATCCTTTACTACGGTGGGCATCTTGTGATCTCAGGGCAAATGACAAGTGGAAATCTGATATCCTTCATCATTTACGAGTTCGTCTTAGGAGACTGCATGGAGGTGAGTCTTATCCCCCTGGGCTACCCCATGTCAAGATGATATTTGTCTTCTAGAAGGTCCCAGGGCAGTTGCAGGGCTAGAGCCAGTGTTGACTTCCCTGCAATGCATTTCCTTGGCACTGTGGCTTCTCCCACCAGTGGGGTCATTTTCCCCTCTGCTCCCCGCTCCCCTCCGGCTGTGGCCTTGCAACCTGAAGACGCCCAAAGCAGCTCATCTCCCAGTAAGGCAATTAGGACGAAGGGGGTCAGGCTGGCCCCACTGAACGGCAGAGTCCTGGCTGCCTCCCAGGCATGTTTCCTGGCATGAAGGATGCAGGGATTACAAAGCTGCCCGTTAAATTTCAGGCTTCATTAAAAACTTAATTATATTACTACTTTTTTTTTTTTTTTTTTTTTTCCCCTGTCCCTGGAATAGGCTGCAAGCTGCTGCGTTGGCAGCACATTAGTAAGATGGGATTGTGGGTGGGATGGTAGAGCCCACCCAGGGCTGCCTTCCCCTTGCAAAGGCGTAAGCTTGGCTAATTGAGGCAGACACAATCAAGTCAAGGTTTCCTCGCAGCCAAGTGTGGTTTCGGCAGTGCTTCAGCCTTTGCATGCCCGGTTCTCCCCATCTGTTTGGATGACTGCAGGCTCTGGTGGTGTTTCCAGGCTGTTTTTGGTGTGTGTTTGGTTTGGTTTGGGGTTTTTTTCCTTCCTGATGGGAGGGGCAGTTGCAGTACAAGCTGTTCTGCAGCTTTGGGTTTAATATTGAGAAGAGCCGATGTGACAGGGGTTTATTCCAGCAAAGCTGGTGTCAGTGTGAAGCAGTTGTAGTTGGGAAAGCACAATGGTAAATCCAGTAGGACCACATCCCAGCAGGGAACACCCATATTGGCTGCCGAATGGTTGTCTAGAAATGTCCGGCCTGAAGCTGGTCTGCATTTGAGATGTGTGCTAGGGAACGAGCCGGCTGCCCTCAGGAGCTGGTGTGATGTGCTGCTGTACGTGGACTCTGTTCAGCCATTGGGTTGGGGAGCTGCTGGTCTTGAGCAGAGAGAGGAAGGCGGAGGATTCTGGTGGAAGTTTGGGTTGTGTATCTCCTGGCACACCTCTTCTCTTCCCAATCCATCTGTTTCCTTCTTATGGTTCCCCTCTGGGTCTACCCATGCACAAACCACTTTAGATGCCTTTTCCCTGGATATGTCCATATATCCACTCTGCACATTACATGGGGGCAAAAGCTTTCTTTTTCTGTGTCTGATGACTGTAGTTGATGTCAGTTGATAGACTTGGGAATGCTTCAACCGTTCTCCTTACAAGTCGCACCAATTGCCTTTTCCATGGCATGGGAGAGCTCACCGTTGCCTCTTCCCTTCCAGTCCGTCGGCTCCGTCTACAGCGGCCTGATGCAGGGAGTGGGAGCTGCTGAGAAAGTGTTCGAGTTCATCGACCGCAAGCCAACGATGGTGAACGATGGTTCCCTGGCCCCAGACCACGTGGAAGGGAAGGTGGAGTTCAGAAATGTGACATTTTCCTACCGCACTCGCTCTGCAACACAGGTCCTCCAGGTGAGCCCTGTGGGCACAGAGCACTCCCCACCATGAGGCATCACATGCTGCTTCTCCATCACAGCAATAACTGATCCCCAGCCCGCGGGAAATGTCAGCTGCCCTTTTGGAGATGCGTAAAGGCAGGCTTGATGGCATGCTGGAAAACAGATTATAAGGAACAGTGGGTGTTAAGGGCTGGCCTTCCTTACAAGGAATGAGATTTACTAATAAACCCCTTGTTCCTGGCTCAGGCATTAAACACATCAGCATGGTACAGGGCTTTGTGCCAAGCTGTCTCAGACTGTTTCCATGGGAGGGGGGCTGGGGTCGTGGGGCAGGGGGAGGCATCAAAGAGATTAGTTTGCTTTGCAGTTTTTAGAGCTCCTGCTACATCAGCAGGCAAATTTGAAGCAATTTTGGAGGCTTCTTGCTTCCTCAGAGCCAGGAGAGATGGCTGATGTGGCACATCACCAAGGTGGAGGGTCACCATGGCCGGATTTCAGCTACCTTTCTTTCATAGTGCCTGAGCCACTGCCCTAGGACCCTGGAAAAAGCCAGGACCTGAGCATGCTCTCCCATCCATGTTGCAGAATGTGTCCTTCACCCTGCACCCTGGCAAAGTGACGGCGCTGGTGGGTCCTTCGGGGAGCGGGAAAAGCTCCTGTGTCAACATCTTGGAGAACTTCTACCCTCTGCAAGACGGGCAGGTGTTGCTGGACGGGCATCCCATTAACATGTACGATCACAAGTACCTGCACTCAGTGGTACGAGCGACTGATACGTGTATTCTAGCTACCGCCTGCCGTGATCAGAGGGGATGGATGGTAGTGTTGCATGTTGCTTTGGATTTGATCTAGCAACTTCTGAAATGTCCAGAAAGCTGGAGGCTGGAGGTGGTCCAGGAAATGAATTCAGATAATTTGTGGGGGTGGAAGGGAAAGGGATGGAGAGTGGTTTCATGGGGAGGGGGACATCTTCTAGAAAAAGGGCAAGAAACATGTTTTGTTTTGTATTTTTGGCCAACGCAGTAGAAATATGTTTTTGGTTGTCAGATTAATTATTGCCTAATTTGGGTTTGGAAAAAAGTGTTTTGCATTCCTCCAGCGCTTTCTACCTTAAGATCTTAAAGTAATTTTCAGCGAATGGGGAGTTAAACCTCCTGGGATCCCGGTAGCAGCTGGAGCACGGAGGGGCTGGGTGGTTTTCCCAGGAGAGGGGTCCAGGCCCCTCAGCTCTCATCCGTATGTCAGCACAGATCAGCCTTCATCTCCTCTGCAAGTAACTGCTGCCTTTGTTTGCCCCCAGAGCCAATGGCCTCACCAGTCAGTTTTTTAACCAAAAACAATTGATCGGAAACAGGCTGGAAAGCCAGAGTCAGTGTGACTAATTTACATTCCCTGCCCGTATGGGGTGAAAATTAAAAGACAAGTGATCCTTTCAGTTTAGAAAGCCTGGCGTGGTGTTAGGAGCATGGGGAGAAGTCAATTAAAATATGACCATGTCCCACTGGCTCTCTTCATGCCCTGTTCTGAGCAATAATTTGGAGGGTTCAATTTATTTCAGTACTGAGTGTTTGACAAAGCAGGCTGAATGTGAGAGTGAGCAGCAACAGCTGTAAGGTAGGACAGGGAGGCTGTTGCTAAGCAATTAAGGAATTGCAGCAGCTATGTCCGTAACTTGCTAATTTTGGATTAAAAGATGCAGGAGGGCTCATTCATATGGCCCAAGTGTGATTACTGGGCTTAAACAGAAAATCAGCAAGGCCCTGGGAGACGATCCCTCCAGCCTGCTCCTTTCTGCTCCTTTCCCATACTGGAGAAAGCCAACAGTGATGGGAAGGGAAGGTCTGGAGGAAAAACACAGCAGGGCCTTGGAGGGGCAAGCCTGTCCCAGATGCCAATGTACCAGCTTTGCATCAGTTTTCTTTCCTGAGAAACAGCTTCCCAGTAGATGGTGCAAACTAGGCTGGGACTGCCACTGGGCACCCCATTGTTAGCATCCTCACCGGAAGCTCACATTGAGGCACTTCTATATCTTGGTTTAATGGTGAGGCTCTGCCCGCTCAAGTCCTTACCCAGCAGGAACAAATGCCGATGATCCAAGACGCCGGCCAGCGTGCCTTCTGCTCCCGACCCCCTGCTCTTCCCTTCCTTTGTGCAGATCTCCCTGGTGAGCCAAGAGCCGGTGCTGTTTGCCCGCTCTATTGCGGATAATATTTCTTACGGCTTAACTTCAGCCTCCTTCGAGTCGGTTGTTCAGGCTGCCCAGAAGGCCAACGCGCATGCCTTCATCACGGAGCTACAAGACGGCTACCACACAGGTACCAAAATACCTCTATTTGCACTTGAAAGCATTTTGTGCTTAGGGAAGGCAGAACCTCTTCCCTTGGATGGAAAATCAGGCAGGTAATGACAGACACGAGTCCCTGGCAGCTCGGAAGCACTGTAGAGGCGGTTTTGTGGAGAGGTGCAGCACCCCGGCTGCCTTTTGGGGTGACTGAGCTGTTGCGGGATTTCTGAGCACATCCTGGGAGCACATTTCTGCAGGTCCTCTGTGGCAGCAGGGTGAGCGTCCCCCATCCCATCCAGACCAGTCTCCTGGTGCCTGGCAATGTTACGGAGATGTGGAACTGGCAGTCTCGCCCTTTTTCAGTGCAGCGATCAGGAGAAAAGCCCAGAACCCAAGCAGTCAGCTGTGTACCACCCCGCCTGCGTAGGAAGAAAAGAAACCTGCGATAAATCCGTAGCAGTAAAAGCTGATGTGTTTGTGACAGTGGGACTTTGAAGAGGCGGGTCAGACTGACGATGGTTCGTGTTTACAGGGGCCAGCAGAGAGGCCCCGGTTTCCCCTCCTTGCCCCCTCGGTTGCACGCCCTCCAGAGCCTGACTTGCAGGGAGAGACGGCAGCGATGCAGCTGCGTGGGCCAGGGCAGGGGGGGGTTAGGGCTTGGATGAACTCCCAGGCTCAGGGACTTGTCTGTGTTGTTTCCATGAGCAGACCTTGGGACAACAGTGGAGAGCTTGCTGCTGGAGGGAAGGATGGCAGCCTCAGGGATGCTGAACTCATTTAAACTGCTCTGCCAAGTGAGCAGAAGCATTTACCTGATCTTTGCTTCTAAACCATGGCACCATCCTGATGCTGCCGGCTGGGAGCTGAACTTGATGGCAGCTCTTGATTTTTGCTTTGACCTTTTCCTCTCTCTCTTGACCCAACAGAGGCAGGTGAAAAAGGAGCCCAGCTGTCAGGTGGCCAGAAGCAGAGAGTGGCAATTGCCAGGGCCTTGATCCGAACCCCCCCCATCCTAATCCTGGATGAAGCCACAAGTGCATTGGATGCGGAGAGTGAACATGCGGTGAGTAGGTGACTCGGGTGTCTGGGCCAAAGAGGCAATCTGGGTTTGGAGGGAAGACTGTAGATCTGATTTCCAACCTGTGGACAAGCTTAGTCTTGACATGGTGCAACCAGAGGTTTGGGTAAAATGCTAATTCCTGAGCAGAAATTTGCTTCCAACATTGCTGTAGCTACCAAGAAGGGAATAATCCTGTGCTCACAGCAGTCAAGGCCTGACAAACCTGATAAGATAGGGATCTCTGCCGATTTTTGAAATGTGAAAAATGTTAACTGGCAAACAGCAGCACCGTGCAGCCTTTTAGAGCAGGAAAACCCTAAAAAATAGTGCTGCAGCAGGCAGAGTAGGACTGCCCGAGCTAAAATCCCAGCTGAGGCATCAAAGAAACCACACTGGCAGGAAAGGCCCTGAGCTTTCTGTGAATTGAGCTGGGTTTATCTGGCTGGGATGTGACAACCAAACAGCTCTACCGGTAGCAGTTTGGCCTCACTGGTTTAATGACATGAGGGAAAGCTAGCTCAAGGTTGAGGTGTGAGGACTCCGGTTCCGGAGGATGAGGCTGCCGGCCCACGGTGTGGGGCAGCGTGTGCATCTGACTTTGGAGCAGCTTGTGAGCTTGCAGGTCCTCAGCTCGTGTGTGGTGTCTGACGCCAGCCAGGTGCTGGTTTGGGCTAGCCAGGGGTGTCAATGTGACATGTGGCCTGGTGGCCATCTGCCTGCCTTTAGACCTTAATGCCGTTGTCTCTCTCCTGGCTGGAAAACAAGTCTCTCTTGCTTTGCCTTGATACACCCGGGAAATAGCCCCGTGTTTCTGAGCAGCTGCATTTACCAGATATTGGCTTCCTACAGTCCATGCCAATGCCACGTGGCTTTCAAATCTGGGGCCCAGCTCTAACAAGGACCCAGCTTTCAGGATCAGCCCTAGCAGTGCATGTGCACCTACCGCACCTGCAGGCTGCCTGGACTGAGACAGTCTTCTGGGCTGCACAGCAAGATCTGGGAGCTGGGATGGATGTGGTGGTCCTGGCAGTGCTGCAGGGAGTCTTGTGTCCTCTGTGTAGCCAGAGGAGAGCAAACCTCCCATCCAAAGGAGAGCAAACCTCCCATCCAGAGGTTTCTTAGCACACACCATAGAGCTGCTGTTCTTCCTTCCAAAGCAGAGCCAGTGATGCTCAGGCACTAATGTCTTTTCCTCCTGTGCAGATTCAGCAGGCGATTTACGGCGACTTGCAGAACCACACGGTGCTTGTCATAGCTCACAGGCTGAGCACTGTCGAGAAGGCACACAACATCATTGTGCTGGACAAGGGCCGCGTGGTGCAGCAGGGCTCACACAAGGCGCTGATGGAAGAAGGAGGCCTTTATTCCAAGCTGGTGCAGAGACAGATCCTGGGGCTGGAGGCGGGCGGCGCGGACAGTCGCCAACCCGCAGCCCGGGGGGATTCGGCGAAGGCACCCAGCGGGCTGGAGGAAGAGTTCAGGATAGATCATTCCCCGCCGGCCGTGGGACAGGACGATTACAACAGCACGGCTCACAAGTGAGAACAGCGAGGGCCGGCGCTCGAGACGCTTGCTGGGATGCTGAGACAGGAGGCGGCTTGCCCATGGGCTCGCGCGCTGCAGAATGACGCCCGTTTGCTCACCCCACACGCGTCACACACCTGTGCACACACAAACACACACTATAGAGCTTCCTGCATTACGGTCCGGCGGGCAGATGCCAGCTGGCTAAACAGGGAAACGGATTTATTCAAGGGAGTTGGGTCTTCAGCAATTCCCAGTTGTTTCTACTGGGTTTCTTTTCTTACTACCAGTAATTCCTCTCGACTGGGACTTTTCTCCCATTGATATGCATGTGTAACTGCTATTAACTGTAACGGATGTTAAATGCATGCGTGGAGGGGAAGATTGAAAACCCCTTCAGGAATTTCAGGGGGTGGCTTTTGTGGCTGGATAGAAAAACAAGTGACTGTAAAACAAGGCCCTGCTCCCGCTATCAATCTATGGGGCCAATCCAAAGTCTGCTGAAGTCTGTAGGGAGCTCCCTTGGGCTTCGGTGAAAACTGGATCGCTCCCACGGGGCTGAATGCTGGGAGAGTTTTGCACTGAGTGCCTGCAGGCTCAGGCTCACAACCATTGCTGCTGAGCTTGTATCGTGTAGTAACCATTCTTGCTGGAACGAGCCAGGGGACTGGGAGGCAGATGTTGCTTTCAGATTTGCTCTTGGTGCTTGGTGGGTGTTTGTTTTTAAGAATGAAAAGATTTACCGTAAGTGGGTTAGGTTATGGGGGGTTTTGGCTTGGGTTTGGTTGGGTTTTTTTTTTTAAATATATTTGTGTGCACTGTGCAATGTCTGTCTGGCTCCAGCATCCACTGAAAATTGGTCTGTTAGTTCAGAATTTTTTTAACTCACAACCCCGGTGCTGGTTTGAAAAAAACACTACTGAAGACAGGCATAAAATACTAAAAGAGAGCACTTTATAAATCCCACCAAAGCTTTGTTTGGCTTCAGGCCATGCGAGGGACTTCACTGCATGGGAAATCCATACGGTCACTTTTACTTGAAGTCCGACTTCAGCTGCCTGAACTTTAAAATGTGTTTCTTTGAATATTATTTATTAACTTACTTTTAGTATGAGGGATAGAAAGAAATATGTTGCTCCTAGCCCTTTTGGGTAATGGCTCTGGCTTAGTAGTGTTATCCTGCCATAGATTGGTGAAGAAACCTATGCAGCCAGGCAGGTGCTATTGAAAAATAGCGTTTATATGGGGAAGATTGACTTCAGACTGTGCATAGTGAAGAAATTATCTCAAGCACTTTAGCTCTCATGTTTTCTGATATTTGAATGCTGCTGTGTTTTACTTTTCGGCAGTTTTGCATTTTTGTTGTTGGTGATGTTTTGTTTTTTTTTTCATTTAGTGATGTTTTACAAACTCTTCAGTGTCCTTGAGGAGGGATGCTCAAAAAATAAAATACTACCTCTGCCACTCAACATCGAGCCAATCTAGTGGGGGTGGGTTTTTTGTATTCATGGTTTTCAAGGTAACGTTCATCTGAGATGATGGCTGAATACAGCTGCATGCTCTCCATGTTCTGGCTCCCTTGTGGGGAATGACAAGAAGAAGTACAGAGAATTAGGTATGTAAAAGCCCTCAGCACCTGGTAAGGATGTGAGCCATAGCAGTAGGTATAACTTGTTTAAGAACTTGTTTTCATCCCAGATCCCATCGGGTAGTCAGTCTCGCACGAAAAGGCAGGCAGTCCAACCCGTTCTTAAAGCACAGTGCTTCGTGACTGGAATCTTTTCAGCTGCTTGCTTTTGTGATATGATAAAAATCTGTGCCTTGGAAGAAGGAGAGCTCTCTCTGAGTTATCTCCCTCCACTTAGGAAACCTCTGTCACGCTCTGAACTCCTCAGTTCACCACTTCAGTCAGTGG